ATGACACAATCTAAAGCTACATACACATTTCTTGTCATGCAATTGTGTAAGAAACATTAAAGGTGCACGATGTAACTTTTCGGGTGACATGTCTGTCGCCTGCTTGTATCCAGAGATGTTACTGCATATCCTGCCATGTTCCACAGTATCACATTAAAAGTATCTATCTTGCATTTTTTTATTGATCAAAATATCTTGAAAACATGTATTCTTACGATAAGTGGGCTCCATAAAATAGACTTGGCTTAAAGTGGTGAAGATTTAATGCCAAACCAATGACATCATCTTAGACTTTTTGGGCAAATTACTGTAGTTTTAGTATCAATAAGTTTCATTTTGGAGTTTATAGAGTGGTATAGTGTTTAACCCAAAGGTTCCAAACCTGGCTCCAAACACCACCTACTGTTGTTGTATCCCTGGGCATATAAGAATGTGGCGTAGATTGGCTGCCACATTTCTGTTAATCAGCCCCTAGATAGCTGTGGCTTTAGTAGTAGCCACAGACTGTATTTACCATATTTTTCACTCTATAAGGCACACTTAAAAGCCTTACATTTTCTCAAAAATCGACAGTGCGCCTTATAATCTGGTATGCCTTATATATTCAATCTTGTGTTTACTGACCTCAAACTGATTTTATGTGGCACATGATACTCAAAAATCTGTCAAAATGTTTTAATATGACTTTTGTAAACTACGAAGTCGCATTGCTTAATGAATTGTCGGAGCATTATGGCTAAGGGCAAAGTAAAGGGTGAAGTATAGTTATGAGTCGACTCAACACACACTGCAGCCGACGTCTTGTTACAGAAAAAACATCTATATTTCACTGAGTCGTGGCCTTTAGTCTGACAGAAGCCATTTTTTCAGTGTTTATAGTTTATGCAAATGAGCCATGTGGTTTTAAGTTTCCTTTCTGTAAAACGTAAACAAATGTGGCAAAGCTGCATTAAACACATTATTACTCAATGTATATTTGAGTCGTCCTCGTAGGAAAAAAAAAAAAAAAACTTAAATGATCCACCCACATTCACATTCATAATCCACATTCATCAAGACAGGGAGGCAACGCCGGGCGAATTACACCACGATCTGCCAATGGATCGTGGACGCCTGGACTAAGGATCAGTCTCAAGTGTCGTCTGTTTGTTTTGCTTAATGCTCCTTATAATCTGGTGCGCCTTATGTATGAAAATAGACGAGAGAATTCAACATTATTGATATTGCGCCTTATAATCCGGTGCAATTTATAGTCTGAAAAATATGGTATAAATGGACATAGGTAACCTGCTAGCCATCATGTTCCAAACAGAAATAGAAATATGGGTGTGCTTCCGGCTCCATCGACTCTGGCTCCACCACACTGAAAAATTGTCGCCTCTGTCTCTGTAACTGCTGCTGTGCACCTCGTCATTTTAGTTTTAAAATGTTCGTATTAACCCACTCTACATGATCCTGGTGTTTTTCTTTCGCCATTTCGTCGGTTAATAAATTCCTCTTTCTAATATGGACTTGGCTCTAAATTGGCTTCTATAACTCCCCTCCTCCATGAGCTTCATTTGACTCCCTTAGTCCACTTCTTTATACAGTCTATGGTAGCAGCTAATAAAATGTAAAGTGCTTTGGCTATATTATAATGCTCTATATACATACAAGTCATCATCATTATAACAAACTGTATAATGGCCCGAAGGATTAGAACTTCTTGGCCCCACAAAGCTGCATGTTTGACCACATAAACACGGCTAAACATGATTTACTGTTCTAGCGACGCACGCGATGGTTAAAGGTCAAAGACTGGTGGAAAATCTTTAATGGTTTTCTGTGACGGACAAAACGTAATAATAATTCCGGGGCGATGTGAAGGTCAGTCTGTAGCTGTAGTGTTATTGTCTATGGTCCCTGTGGCTTTAGCTGGAAGCAGGCTCCAGTCGTCTCCATCTGGAAAGGTCACAGCTTTTCTGGATGACTGAAGCCCGAGAGGAGATGAGCAGAGTACACAGAAACAAATGTACGTACGCATGCTATATCTCATTCACACTTCAACGGCAAACAACACCACACGGAGTTACAGTGAATAAATGGAGTTATGTCAAAGTCTTCTGTCTTTCTCTATGGGTGTGTTGAGATAAGCTACTTGCTGCTGGGTCTGGCTTGATATGTTTTTGTACAAGCTTGAGCAGTCATAAGGACTTTAACGGGTCCTATATTATGTAAAATTGAGTTATGATGCTGGTACCTCCACAAAAATACATTTCATTCACACATGTTTGAGTAACTCTTATTATTTATTAGTCTGTCTATAGCTCCAAGGCTCAAAGTGCTCTGTTCCATTTTGTGATGTCATGAAGCAGTAGTTTAAGTTAACAGATACCTTTTACATTTAGTTCAGTAGAGATTGGCAATTCCAGGGCTGAACTCATCCAAATGCAGCTGCATGGAGTTTAAAAACACAGTGGAGCACCTGTATTACTATATGACATCACAAGGTGGAACACTGTGTTTTCTGTTTGAGAGAAGAACTGTGCCTAAATATGTTGAGTTTGTGTGTTAAACATGTGTGAATGAAATAAAACACAACTCCAAGTATGTTTGTGATAAGGAAACAACATTATATAAGAGATCAGAAAATAGAGCCCTTTAATAAAGCAGCGTAACACTGGATGGACTTAAAAATGCTTTATGGAGATAAATTCAGTGTCATATTGTAAAACACTCCAGGCCAAGATACAAACCTGGTGTGCGTGAGTGTGTGTGTGTTTCATGTGGGTACTAAGCCCATTCACACAGTTGTAGGGATGTGCAAAAATATTGAAATATTGTGATATTAATTTTGGTGTTTTTTTTTGGGGGGGGGGGTTTGTATCTTTTAGCCATTTTTTGTGACGGTACTAAAATTTTTCTGCTTATTTAATTTACGCAATACATATACCGAATTTTCCGCTCTCACATATCATATATATCATATTATATTGTATCGAACTGAAAGTGCACTGTATCGAGATCTGTATCGTATCATGGCCTATGTAACAAGGTATGGTATCGTAGTGGTAATTTCTTAATGATACTCAGCCAGCCCTAATATTCACTGTTTTGATGATTAAAATAGATGTGTCTCATAAGTAGTGGTTTAACAAAGAAATATTGTTGTTAAAGTGTATACACAACAGAGTATAATGTGCAATATGAATTATCTAATGTATCACCATATTCTGATAATATTGTATCGTGAGCTGTGTATCGAGTATCATATCAAGTCGTGAAGGAGCAAGAGTTTCCCAGCCCTAGAGAGTTGGGTTAAGATCAGATCAGTAGCAAGCCTGGTTAAAGTTATGCTCCTAAAAATAAACAAAAGTCTGTAATGTCCACGTTAGACAGTTGGATCCAACCCGTGTGTGTGTGTTTGTGTGTGTTGTGTGTGTGTCTGTGGTGTGCATGCGTGTGTGTGTGTGAGTGTGTGAGTGTGTGAGTGTGTGTGAGTGAACAAAAACACTGGCAAACAAACCACATGCCAGACAAGCTGACATTTCTCCTCTCGCATCTCCAATTTGGGCTGGCAGGATGAAGGGTAGCCCAGCCGCACCACCTGGCAACTGCTCCCCTCTGCTTCTGCCCCTCTTCCCCTCTTCCTCTCTTTCCCTCTTTCCCTCTCCCTCTTTCTCCCTCTCCCCCTCTCCTGCACTGACAAACTGACAGCAGCTTCTATATGGAGGGTAATACGGGGCAGTAGGTTGGGGGTTTAACATACAACTACACAACCGTCTGGATAGTGCAAAATGGAGAGCTACAAAATCTCAAATGTGACCAAAAATCTGACATCACCAATAAGGCTCCAGTCAAATGAAGCTCATCGAGGCTGGCAGTTATAGGTGCGAATTTACAGCGAGTAGAGCCAATCCAAAATACGCACACACACATTTTAAGTAGGTCGGAAATGACTTGTAGATGTTCATCATTTAATTGAGTGGCGCCTCATTTGAATAGATCTATGCATAATTATGGTAAACACAGCATGTCTGACCTGCATCATAATGTAAGCATTATGTATGAAGTAAACAAGACACGGTGACCTTGTAATGTCACTTATACATCTCTCTCTAACTCTGCTGTCAGAGTGTTTCAGGTCTGATGAATACGTTCCTGTTTTCCTCAGCTAATTAAACTCTTCTTAGAATAGTTCTTAGTCAAAGTTCTCTCAACTACACAACATGTACACCAGTGTTTCTCGAACTGTGCTGCAAGCTTTCTCTGGTGGGGTCTTCTACCACTCAGGTACACTTAAAGACAAATTTGTGTTGACTGTACCATAATCAGGAGTAAGATCCTGGTATAGTCCCATTTAGACTACGTAAATACCTTTGAGTTTTGTTTTGTTTTTACTTTCTTTTTGATTTCTACACATTATCAATAAGGTATGTGTTTTTGTTAAATCCAGTTGAAAAAAAAGCACAGACTTCTGTCCAAAAATGCAGGAAATGCTTACAAGTTATTCTCAAATAAAACAGTCTGTAAAAGTCTGACATTATAATAGACTGATTGTCATCTGTGGGCATCGCCATGTTCAATTGGTTCATTTGGAAGCTTCACCTTTGACTTCTGCACAAACCTCAATGTTATGACATGATTGGTCACCCTCACCCTTTAAGAGATTCTCAAGAGTTTGTGAAGTCACAAATATCATGAGAATCCATCTTGCTGTGAAAGGTTAGGATTGTGTCAGAGTCTCGTGTTAAATCAATGAAGAGTTTAGAATGCTAAATACCAAATTACCACTAGTTACCCCGCGGCTTACTGCATTATTCCATAACTCTTTTGTTTCCTTTTTAATATCGTTTTAGCTACTGCTTCTCTATAAACTCTGTCTTAGGTTGTATTTGGCAAAGGGAAAGCCAAACCTGTTCTTAAGTTGTATTTGCAGTAGCATGTGAGGTAGTATTTGCAGTAATATCTGAGGTAGTATATGTTGTAGTATTACTGACAGTAACAGTCGCCCGTCTCACCTCCAGTAGCTGTGTTTTGTCGTAGTCATGGCGATGCAGATAGATGCTCTGACTGAGCACAGAGTACAGCCGCTCCAGCTGCTCCACACTGAAGCCATGGCTCTTCTTCACCACCAAGTCCAGTAAGACCTACAAAACACACATTTGATTTAGTTTAATATGACAACTCAGAGATATTAGTTTGATTTGTATTAAAGAAATGCAAATAAATGGATGAAAAGAAAATATATATAACATTATACATAACATTCATTCAGGTTTCAAAGTGATAAAAGATTAGGACCGTCGAGTTGAAAATCAAGTTGAAAATCAAGAAGGTCTGAATTAAATCATTAAAGAGCCTCCAATGACCAAGCCAACATGTCCATTTCAAATAGTTAAGTTTCTATGTGGGGTCTGGTTGGACGCTTCTGGTTGGAGGGCTCCAGTTTGTCTCCAACAAGACGTTATTGCTTTACATGGAATGTTCATCAGTACGGCATTAAATGTATCTATCTCCCATTTATCCAGTTTGCAGAAAAGACTCACCTATTGAAGTCACCCGCTTCTCTCCATAGACACAACTTTAATGCCATACTGAGCGAAGTTTTAGGCAAAACAATAAAATCACCATAGAGACAAGCAGGTGGCTGACCCTCCACCAACAGAAAAGTGACATAATGCTCTTTAATTAAAACACAGGTTACATTTTATTATTATATTTAAACAGTTTTCATAATTTGCCAGAGTTTTTACAATCCAAACTATTATTTATATATTTATACAACCCCTGTCATTTATCATTTTGTAATACAAGGCTATATAATGTACACTTTTAATTATGCATGTATGTAGGAGGTCTATTGAAACAAATGTTATTGTTTTGCATAGATTGTTCCACACTATAGCACTAAATTGAGTTATCTTGACTAGGGTTGTGCAAAAATATTGAAATATTGATATACTGTATCGTTTAATGTGAAGATACAGTATCGATATCATGGGCTGCTGTATCGATATCGCCAGGAGTATTTTTTGGTATATTTTACTCAATTATTTTGTTACAGCTCTACATTTTTATTGCTTGTTTAGAGGAAGGAAACTCGTTTATGCGACACATTTGACATTTTCACTGTTTTAATGATTAAAATGTTTGTGTTTCATATGAACTTTGCACAGGAAGTGGTTTAACAAAGACCTTTAGTATCACTTATCACTTCTAGTATCATTTAGCTATTATTTTTATTAAACTGTATCGAATCGATCTGAAATATATCGCATCGAATCGTAAGCTCACTGTATCGGGATATGTATCGTTTCGTGACCTGTGTATCGAGGCATGTATCGTATCAGCAACTTCTTCAGCAATCTTGCATGTATTCAGTTAGTCGTATTTATATTTATATTGGTGTCTTCTGCTTTTCTCTGTGGACATTAAAGCACGTTTAATGCCATACTGTGGAACATTCTAGGCAAGGCAATAACATCACCATGGAGACAAGCAGGTGGCTGACCCTCCATCAACAGAAACGTCACACAATGCACTTTTAATTAAAACACAGATCACATTTTAGTTCATTTCTTTACCAGTTTTTCATAATGTGTTTTTACAGTCCCTTGTAATTTATAGTTGTGTAAAATGGGGCTATATAATGTCTACTGTTAATTACTCATAGTATAAATGTATGTACGTAGGGGGTCTATTGAAATAAATAGGTGGTGACAGGCGCGGGGGACAAACTGGTCACACAAGCAAAGCCCTGGCGTTATTCAATGCAGATGTAGGCTTCGGAGGTTGCTTGTATTCAAAAGTAATTATGATCGGACTGACAGCTAATTAAGCCTAATCATAACGAGAAGCAAGTTTACATTTCACTGCTACTTTAATTAAAACAATCTGGACAGCGAAAAGCCCTTTTAATTGACCCAGCGCTGGTATTTTCGTTTAGTTATTTGTCAGTTTAAATAAGCAGGAGCTCATCGGGATTCAAGGTCTCGGGGAAAGCAAAAAGGTGCAGTAATTAAAGCTACAATCGAGCGTCTGTAAGCAAACGAAGAAGAAATGTGATTAGAAATTAAATGGCATTTGTGTGTGTCGCAGCAACAGTGACCGTAGCCGTGAGAAACGCGCACAAGCGGGTGATGTCATGATTAATAAAACACAAGTTGTTTGTCAAAAGCTTTAATCAGGCGACGTGAAGGAGAGATAATTGGGACGAGCGTTTGAAAAATTACACGAGGAAAAAAACTGCCATATTCCATCTGTTTGTGATTTAAACGTTACAAGAGTTGTCTTTGTAATTAAATTTATGGGGAAAATTATTCAAAAGCTACAATGTAAAATGATAAAAGAGTACAAGATATTACAAATAACAAAATAATTATATAAATGAATATGTTCTAATCAATCATAATCTTTTTTTTGGCTAAAAATTTACACTGTGGCTTTATAAATCATGTTATGTCCACTCTTATGATTACCTACCATGGACTTATTGAGCCACTTCTCATTTCTCAACTCATTTACATGTTTCCTTAAATAATATTGTAATTCTACTATTACTTTAGCATACTTTTTGGTGACTCTACACACCCAAAATCCACCCATCACGTTCCATTATGTTTTTTAATGGCCAAAATGGAAAAAGAACCGCGTGAATTGCCTTTTGGACGACCCATAGTCTTCAGACAGTCTCCAATTCTGTTCAAATGAAAGTTTTCAAAAACAATCAAAAACTTTTACTCCACACCTGTGTCCCTCCAGAACAACGTGGAGATAAATGCGTCTGCAAACCAACGGCCATCTGTCTTATTCAAATGCAAAGAAAAACAAAATCAAATTTACTCCGACGTTCTCCTTAAGATGACACATAAAGCTGATGCTGCAGTTTTAAAGGTCCTATATTACACAAAATGGACTCTTATGAACTTTTAGCCTTGTTATAATACTCATACCTCCTCTAAAACAGACCTGGAGATGTGTTTTGTAAGTAATCCTTTATTATTAGTCTGTCTACATCTCCAAAGCTCAAAATGCTCTGCTCCACTTGTGATGTCATGAAGCTTTAATTTTCAACTTAACAGCTCCTTTTACCTTTCGTTTAGTAGAGACCGGCAATTCCAGAGCTGAAAGCATCCAAATGATTGTGTGTAGTTTTAATGTGCAGCTACAAAACTGTTCATAATGTGTAATAATAAGGACACCATGTGCCTTTTTCTCGTCTCTCGCCTTTTTCATTTGGCAATAATTGCATAAGAACTAAAGTTGTCCTCTTTGTGCAGGTAACACATGCAAATATAAAAGTTAATGGTTAACCCGCTTAACCGTTACAGGTCGACCTGCGCATCACTACTGCCCAGTGTCAGAAAGAACAGGTTTGGTGAACAGTTTGGTCAGTAATCACTGTGGCACTCCTCCATAACCCGTGCATTATTCGTTCATTTGTTTTTCAAAATAAAACCACAAAAAAGAAAACAAAAAAAAAGGAACTATTTTATTCATTATTTGTCTCCAAAACCAAAATGAAAAAACAGATAATTTTTTTTTAAGTTTTTCGATTTTGTGTTTAAATGAATAACGAAAAAAAGGGATAATGGCAGTTTCCCATTTCCGTGACTTAAACTGCACCGCATTTGGACTGAACCAGGACTAAAACAGGACTAAACCAGGACTAAACCAGGACTGAACCAGGACTGAACCAGGACTGAACCACGACAAATCGTTATCAGTTTTTTTCATTTTGGTTTTGGAGATAATCAATGAAGAAAATAGTTTTTTTTTTTTTTTTTTTTTTTCCGTTTTCTTATTTTTGGTTTTATTTTGAAAAACGAATGAACGAATGATACACGGATTCTCAAATGTTTAACTTGGGACATCCATTTAGATTCAATGGGGACATTCACGGTACGCACAGTGCTTAAAGGCGCCCCCTGCAGGCGACTGTGGGGGTTTACCGTATCGTAGGTGTATGGACTTTATGTGTTACTTACTCGAGGATCCTAATAATATATCTTTGTAATATATGCAGAAGTTAAAGCAAAGGAAATTCTTGAACCGCGACAGCCCTAGCGATAAGTAAACGACTTTTTTTTTTTTTTTTTTTTTTTTAAACATAGATCAGAAAATCGCGAAATATGGGCCCAGCCAACTTGAAGCAAACACACGCGACTTTTCTATCACGCTAACCCATTTCGAATACCTACCGCGAGCTGTAGAACTAATGTCATGCGAAACTCAATAGTCCAGAAACATGACGTTAAGTGGATAATACTTTTCAAATATTCACATCTCCATAATCCAATCAGACAGACAGAGAGGAGTGCACAGTAATATAGCGGTGACACCAAACTCCACCTGACCGATCTAATCACACGAAGTCCCTAGCCAAATAAAAGGCGCATACATAAGCCAGCAGCGCGGATAATATTCTGAATTGATAATGGCTATCTGGGGTTAGCGCCAGTACTTTTTTCCTATTGAATATTTTATTGCGTTCTTTCTGGACAGTTACTCCCGGTGTCGGATCGGCAGCAGGGGTCTCGGGTTTCATCGGTTTGAGAGAAGAGAGGAGGGAAATGGTGCAAAACTCGGATCGCAATTTTAACAGGACGTGCATAAAGTTTTTATTGGCGTCGTTATAAAGAGAAATTCCACAGCGCTTTTAGGCAACTCCTGGTGTGTGAGCGCATTTTTAAGATGTTTACAGGAGTTTAAGTCGACAGCTACACCTTTTACCTTTTGTTCAGTAGACATAAAGTAGTAACACCATGGCTGAAATGATCCAAATAATTCAAGTGAAGGTGTATGGAGTTTAAAAACACAGTGGAGCACTTTTAAATAACACCCCACATAATTTACTTGTACTTTTTTGGCTAAAAAGTTTAGGGGTGTCAAATTATTGCATTAATTGCGATTAATTAATTACAGTCATATTTAGCATGTTATGTTTTTAAATCGTGTTAATCTTATTTTTAATCTCTAACTTTACTGTTTCTGAATGCGAGTTGCCTTATTATAAAATCTGTTTTTATGTGTTGTTAGGACACAGTCCCGCACTGTGCAGTCCTGCTCCGCTCGCTCCCGCAAAGAATTGTAGCCTAATTTTCATTCCCGTTCTCGCCGCATCTGCGATAAACCTGCACATGTCTGA